ATCTCCTGAGATGTATGATTTTGGGCCTTTGCTGTTTTTCTTTTCTTTTTAATTTTTTAATTTTTTAAGAGACATAGTCTCACTTTGTTGCCCTTGATAGAACGCTGTAGCGTCACAGCTCACAGCAACCTCCAGCTCTTGGGCTTAGGCAATTCTTTTGCCTCAGCCTCCTGAGTAGCTGGGACTACAGGTGCCTGCCACAGCGCCTGGCTATATTTTGTTGCAGTTTTGGCTGGGCCAGGTTTGAACCTGCCACCCTCGGTATATGGGGCCAGTGTCCTACTCACTGAGCCATAGGCACTGCCAATATTTTTTTTTTCTTTCATTTAAAAATTTCATTGTAGCCAGGCACGATGGCTCAGACCTGTAATCCCAGCACTTGGGAGGCCGAGGCGGGTGGATTGCCTGAGCTCATAGGTTTGAGACCAGCCTGAGCCAGAGCGAAACCTAGTCTCTAAAAAAAATTAACTAGGCATTGTGGTGGGCTCCTGTAGTCACAGCTACTTGGGAGGCTAAGGCAAGAGAATCCCTTAAGCCCAGGCGTTTAAGGTTGCTGTGAGTCCATGGCACTCTAGCAAGAGTGACAAAGTGAGACTCTGTCTCAAAAAAAAAAATTTTTTTTTTGTTGTATATATTTAAGGAGTTAATGGATTTAACATTACATTTTGATATACAGTGAAATGGTTACCTATTGTCAAGTACATTAACATATCCATCATTTTATATGGTTGTTTTTTGTTGTGTATGGTAAGAGCACATAATCTCTTTTAGCAAAAATCCCTAGTACAATATTATTAACCATAATCGTCATTATCCATAGACATTTTGGTGCTTTCCACATCTTGGCTGTTGTGAATAATGCATTCTTTTTTTTTTTTTTTTTTTTTTTTTTTAAAGCATTTAAGGCCCTAAATTTCTGTCTAACTACAGCTGTAACTGCTTCTTACAAGTTTTGGATATACTACATTTTTGTTATGGTTATTTCTAAATATTTCAAAACTTCTACTCATTTCTGTGTAGTTCATGAGTGTTTATTATTTAGGAGTGTTTAAAAATTTCTCAAGGACAGCGCCTGTGGCTCAAGGAGTAGGGCGCTGGCCCAATATACTGGAAGTGGCGGATTCAAACCCAGCCCAGCCAAAAACTGTAAAAAAATAAATAAATAAAATAAAAATTTCTCAAGCATATGGTTGTTTGCAGTTAGCTTAATCCCACTGAGAGCATAGTCTATATGATATAGATTCTTTGATATTTGTTGAGATTTGTTTTGTAGGATATAATGTGGTAATTTCATATGAGGTCCAACTATGTACTTCAGGGTAATGTGTATTCTCTTATTGTTGGGTATGTGGTTCTGTATGTGTTTATCAGATCAAGTTGACTAATTGTATTGATCAGATTTTGTATTTACCTTTTTATTTGCTCAGTTAATCAGTTATCAAGGAAGATGTATTAAAGTCTCCTAGCGTGATTATAGATTTTCCAGTTTTTCTCTCACTCCCTTTGTGTTTTGTTTGTTTGTTTCTGAGATAGAGTTTCACTCCGATACTGGGGCTATTACGTTGGTGTCTCGTCATAGCTCAGTACAACCTCAAACTCCTGGACTCAACCAATCTTTCTGTCTCAGCATCTCAGTAACTAGGACTATTGGCATGTGCCACCATGCCCCTAGCTAATTAAAAGTAATTTTTTTTGTAGAGACAAGGTCTGTTTATGTTGTCCAGTCTAGTCTCAAACTCCTGGCCTTAAGTAATCCTCCCTCTTAGGCTTCTCAAAGTGCTGGGATAATAGATGTGAGCTATAATGCCTGGCCAATTTCTCCTTTTAATTCTGTTAATTCTGAGGCTACCCTGTTGGATTTAATTTAAAGTCAGAATTGTTATATGTGTATCTTGCAAATTGTTTCTATTATTGCCCTAAAGTTGTCCCCATTATTTCTAATAATGCATTTTATCTTAAAATCTTTCTTGTTTGATATATTTGCCAGAGTTCAAGTTTTCCCATTCTTACACATTAAACTTTCTGTGATTTTATGTATTTGTAAAACCTCTTGTATGTTGTATATGAATGTTGATGGGTATATCTTTACATTTTGAACATATATATTTGTTTTAGAAAGTCTAAAGTTGAAAATAGTATTTCCATTGTTCCTGGCTTCTGTTGTTGTTCTTGGAAAGAATTTTAGGGATAATTTGTCTTTTCTCATTGGTTTATTTCAAGATCTTATTGGTTTTCTGCATTCACAAGATATCTAGACATGGATTTGCTTTTACTATGCCATTGGAAACTTGTGTTTCTGAATTGGAAGATCTACGTCTTTTGTCAGTTCTGAAAGTTTCTAAGCCATTAGCTTAACTTAGGAGCAGTGAGGTTTCAAGCAATATTGACACAAGCAAATACTTAAAAGAAAATCACTCTGTTGCTTACTGGTTGGTTACTTTGGGCAAAATATTTTAGTGTCTTGTGCCTCAGATTTCTCATGTGTATAATGGGGACAATAATAATTTCTTTCTGCCACAAAGAGCTATTTTGAATATCAAGGAGAAGAATGTACTTGAAATTGCATTGCAAATTATAATATGCTACACAAATAGTAGAAGATTGAGTTCACTGTAGCTGTTTAATAAAATATATTAAATGGACTCTGTGTCTGTAGCTCAAGCAGCTAAGGCACCAGCCACATACAACAGAGCTGGCAGGTTCAAATCCAGCCTGGGCCTGCCAAACAACAATGACAATTACAACAAAAAATAGCCAGGTGTTGGGGCAGGTGCCTGTAGTCCCAGCTACTTGGGAGGCTGAGGCAAGAGGACTGCTCAAGCCCAAGAGTTGAGGTTACCATGAACTGTGATGCCAGGGTACTCTAACCAGTGTGACAGCTTGAGGCTCTGTCTCAAAAAAAAAAAAAGACATATATTAAATGAATCTCAATAAACATTTGTTGAATGTTTGATGAATGAAGAGTATAAGTGATATTATTTAAATATTTTAATTCTTTTTCTCCTTCCCTATTCTTTAGTAAGAAATGCAAGAATATTTGGATCCCTCATGGGAGTGATCTGTGTGTATACCGTGTTTCCCCGAAAATAAGACCTACCCCCAAAATAAGCCCTAGCAGGATTTCTATGCATTTGTTAAATATAAGCCCTACCCCGATAATAAGGCCTAGTGATGGGTATGGCTATGCAGCATATCTGCATAGCAACACCGTGCATTTTAGTGGGGAGCAGTAAGGAAGACTGGAATACCTTTTATCTGCCACAGTTCCTTTCTCCAGCCATTAGCACTTGTGCCGTTAGCACTTGTGTGGGTGCACGTGTGGTAATGGTGGCAGGCATTCTATTGCGCACGTGCAACATCACTAGCGCCAGCCCCACCAACAAGGTCGGCTCCCCCTGTCAGGTTCCAGGAGAAGATGACTTAACTGTATTTGAATAAATGTAGATTGTTGTATTATACTTAATAAAAATGAGACATCCCCTAAAAATAAGCCCTAGTGTGTCTTCTTGAGAAAAAATAAATATAAGACAGTGTCTTATTTTCGGGGAAACATGGTACACATTGAAAAATGTATATGAGG